TTTTAAAATTATTATTCAATAGAGCTTTCTTTTTCTTGCTGGACAAAGATTTAATTGATATGGAGGTGGGCCAATATTCTATTAGTTAGCCCCTTCTCCCTGCCTTCCCATACATACATACACAAAGAGTATGGGCATGGTATGTTCAGCATTATAAATAAAAGGGGAAATTACTTTTCCTAAATAGCGTTCCCAGGAAACTGGAAGCTGATCCTGTTCTCTTTGTAATATAGACAAAGTAGAGTTATTCAATTAGGAAGATCTCACCAAAAGGGGTCATAATCTTCATTTACTGTCTCAAATACCAACATAAAAATCACCTTTCCAAATTTCTTGAGTTTTCAGAAAAGGGTCTATTTAGAAAAGGATTTCAAAACTAACTAACATACTGACATTATTAAGGGTCACCTTGAAACTAAACTGGTTTGCAGTGTTCTCATTTTGTCAATTTACTAAGTAAATCTAAAACGTAAGATTTCAAAGCTTTACAAACTAAAGTATGTTCACGTGAAAAAAAAGTCTTGGAAAATATGTATATAATACAAATCATAATGACAGCAAATAGTCATATAGCACTTATTATAAGCAAGGCGCTGTTCTACAACATGCTTTCTATATATTAATTCATTTAATCTAATAACCATATAGGTAGGCTGAGGGAAAAGCTATCCGCTTGTCACATGTCCAGGCAGCTGAAAGGAGGCATTTTGGGAAATGTGATCTAGTTCCCAATGGCTGTTTCTAATTTCTGCCTCTCAGCTAAGTGTGATGATTCAGTTAGACTTCCTGAATTGCATAGTCACCCTGCCATATTCTAAACACTGTTTATACCAATCTGAAGGTATTTTCCAATGCTAACCATGCAGGGCAATATGGCTGCAACCAAGGATAACTGAGTTCCCACACAGGGGGTTGTCCCTGATCTAGTTTCAACATGTACAGTTCCCATCAGGAGGCCAGAGTGGCTCATCATTTGTCTACCGATTTTCAGTCAGAAAAGTAACAGCACTGTGTAAAAGGGGAAATGTAGGTTGACTTTTCTTTCTATATTGCTAAACTGAGAAAAAGAACCACCATTTATGCTTCACTTTATGCCAGGCATTGCAGCAAGTGCCTTAAATATTAGTTTTAATTCCTGCAATAACCTGAAAAATTGGTGATATTTTAATGTCAAAGTGAAGAACCTGGTGATCATGAAGATTAATTGAGAACAGGGTAGAATGAAAGATGTCCGTTTGTAGAATGTGAAATTGAATAAGAACTTCCTATTTTTGTTCCCAGAGCTTAACAGAGCAGTGGGTGTACAGGAGGACTCAATACTATTTGATCAATGGTGAAACTGATAATCTACCACATATACAACTTCCCTCTTCATTAAGAGTTCTGAAGGGAACCACATGGTAATTCAAATTGATCAAACACTTGCTAGAAGGCATATTTACTCATATTCAAGAATATGCCAGATTTTTCCTGTTTCATTAATAGCCCTATAAAGGTGCCTAAGTAATGAATATAGCACATTTTCAGAGAAGATGATATTTGAAGGGACTGTGGATCAGAGAGATCAGAGAACTCCATTATGTAAATATTCAGGGAGTGTGAAAGACATTAGTGTGCAACCCACCTGTAGAAGTTACCCTGTACATTTTTACAAAAATATCAGCTTGCCTTTCTTTGCTTTAGGAGGAGCAAAAGTGCATAGCAGATACAACTCATTTCTGAATAACTCAATATGTAATTTTTCAAAAAAGTCAGTTTTCTGAAGCATGACCTGCTGATAATCTGAAATGATTTTTAGCTTTATCAAACATTATCCAAAATCTAATAATATCAACAAGTACAGCTTTTGCACATGTTATTTTATACTTGTATTCAAGATAAAATGCAAGCAAGAAAAATATATTTAAGAAAACCAGTACATTAAGAAAAAAAGGCTTGCAGGAGGGGCATTCTATAATAGAACAACATTCCTATTTGCAGAGCATTAAAGAAAAATACTTGGGAAATATATAAACTAAGAATCTCATAGGAAGATGTCACAGAAAAAGAGCCAATTCTCCCAAAAGAGCAGAATACATGAATTCTTAAAGTTGGGCATACAAAGTCATCGGGAATTGGACAGAACAAGTCAAGTAGAAAAGAGATCTCTCTTACAAAATGTGATATAGAAAGAGAAAGCACTCATGGAATACACCATGGAGACACTTTCAAGGACAGGTAAGATCACAAGAAAAGTCTAAGGCAAATGATCCCACTGAAGCAACCAAATTTGGAGTTTAAGCCTTAAGAAGAACTGATGAATTGAAAACGGGAGAGCACGGGGAGAAAAAACGCAGAGGAAGAGGATGAAAAGTTAAACTAGGCTTGGTACAAGAGTCTTGAAGTAGGTGTCATCAGATAGAGGCAGTAGCTGTTGGTTTTGTATACCTGACAAGAGCCTTTGTTGCTTTAGAACAAAATTTACACAACAGATCCATGCATGGAGCAAGGCAAACAGGGTTTCTGCTTCATGGAGCTGCCCTACTTATGGGGGGATGCAAGCTATGCATTCGTGAACAGGTAATGCACAGATAAACAAGATGCTTTCACATAGTGTGAAGTGTGCTAAAGAAAACAAGGGCAGAAAGATTATCTGGCGTATGGCTATTAGCAAGCTGCTTCCCACTTTCCGTTGTGCTGGACTGTTGAACACAACTGACAGAACACACGTGAATAAAAAGACACGAGGATGACAAAAGCATAATCTCTTTCTCTCCTCCTCCCCGCCCTCCGAAACCCTCAATCCTGGAGAAAGAGACAATAACTGAATCTATAAGGAATGGTTAGTATGACCTATAAACAAAAGCTAGAAGATTTTAATCATTTACCCGTGCTCAAGAAGAAGAAAAAATGTGACAACTTTAAATGCAATTAGAGCTCTCACATGAAGTTTACTAGATACCCAAGGTGAGGACTCCGTATAAGAGGTTGATAGACTCTACTCGGCAAAAAGAGTCAGGACAGAGGAAGGAAATGCAGCAAGCAGTGTAATTAGTAGGAACTTGAACTGTTTTCAGGGGTTTATTAATAGAGTGGAACATGCTGAAAAAATGTGACAACTTTAAATGCAATTAGAGCTCTCACATGAAGTTTACTAGATACCCAAGGTGAGGACTCCGTATAAGAGGTTGATAGACTCTACTCGGCAAAAAGAGTCAGGACAGAGGAAGGAAATGCAGCAAGCAGTGTAATTAGTAGGAACTTGAACTGTTTTCAGTGCTTCATTAATACAGTGAAACATGCTGGAAAAAAAATGGACTGCTCTCTAGAAAATGTGAATCAGGAAAACAAATATGAACACAACCAAACACCCAACTTTGTTTGATGAGCAGCCTATGCTGGAAGATCTCAGAGAAGATCAGCTACAAAGAGAATGTCCTGGTTGGGCATGTGAGAATAGGAAAAATGGGGAAAGACGAAATCTGAGGAAGGGAGAGAAAAAAGATGGGACTGATGTAATATATTTAAAAAGCAACTTCTTTCTTTGTTATATGATATATAGAAATAGAGAATACAAATGAAAACAAAGGCAGGATCTTGGCAAAGGGCCCAGGAAGGCATCATCACAAAGGGACGCTGTCCAGATAACCCAAACAGGATGGTTACAAAGAGCAATACACTGGAGGAGTGGAATGGATGCTCATCAGAATGCGAATCACTGTACATGAAAGACCACTCTGCAGGCTGAGCATTTTGATGGGGGAGTTCCAGTAGAGGAGGGAGGACAAGAACACAAGACTGGCTCTCCCAAACCTTCTGCTCCTCACTGGCTGTCAGTAGCTTTTCTAAGAGCTTAGAGTCCGAAGCTAAAATCAATGGGAGGTTGTGATGTTCAAAAGGAAAGGCAAGACATGCATCCTGAACCAACTTGTAAAAATTCAAATATCAGAATGAGAAGATTTACTTCAAAATGATA